GTCTGTCAATGAGTAAAGCGATTTTATTTCCACTACTTTTGGCAAGCAGTGGCACCGTACCAGTCCAGTGTTCTTTGCTTTTCCGAAGCCTTCACTGCCTTTTTTTTTTTTTTTTTATTATAACGTCAACGAGCTAGAAATTGTAATTGTCGCCAGTTGTTTAATGAGAGGATGCAGGACGATGGTCGGTTTTGACAGATCCGAAACGAACCTCCTGAAACTTCAGTGGTGGGTTCCATGAATGATTGCTACAAGCATGCATACAAATTTTGGCTGCCCTTGGCGGTGTTTCATCTCTTACAGTGGCAGGATGATTATCTGCATGAAATACCAGCTCTGCGCACCATTATTTTAGCCTCAATGCGGGCAGCCATGGAGAGAAATTGTATTGGAAGCAGAAAATTCATTTAGAATTGAAATTATCAAATGGAGCATCCTGAAATGTGACTTAGTTCTTTGGGATTTGTAAAAGACCGCTTTTTTTTGTGGGATACTTTTTTAAAGGTTTTTCACATTTTGGTGCTTTCATAAAACTTATGCTTTCTTTTCCCTTCGGATCTTCCTGTCTGTCCTTGAACCTCGAAGGCGTGATCGCTTCTTTTGAAACAATGTGATACTGTTTAGACTTCAAAAGCAAACAGCCTACATTTTTTCTGGAGAAGGAAACCTCGGGAATTCCGATGCAAACGCTTTTTCTTTTATGGTTTGTAAGTCATTCATTATGCAGTCTAAGAATTCATGGCCAGCAAAACAGAGCACTTGTATTGTTCTCAAATTGGCGCTCTTTGTGTTCGATGTCTTCTCATTCAAGTGATATAAGCCTACTTTCGCGTAACATTCAGCACTGCTATACTTTTTACAAAATAATTTGTAGGCAACAAATTCATTTTGTTATTTATTTTGCGTTCTTTGATATACGTTTTTTCATCGTAGTGCATTAGTCGCCTTATCATTGCGGCCCCTCCATCATAGAAGCTTGAAGGAAACTACGGACTGGATGGTGGTAGAAGCAGTTGAACATACTTTCCAGCGGTAATGTG